GTATCTCTCTGTCTCTGTATCTCTCTGTCTCTGTCTCTCTCTCTCTCACATGTCATACATACAATAATGATGTTTTTAAAGAATGATGCCATAAACATTGATATATAAGTCTTTGTGATCAGTATCTCCTATGTCTTATGCACCTACATAAGAATATTGTTACTTGGTTGTATTGTGAATGTGTAGTTAATATGTGAGGAAACAATCCAGTTCTTTCCCACAGTGGCCTGGCATGCCTTTTTATAATTCTTTTTTACTGTGTATGCCTGAGTTTAATTTTAAAATAAAATTTATGACTAAAAGAGAAAAGTTAACTTTAATATTAATTTTGGCTAAGACTACCTTCTAAGAAAACGTGGATACTTGCCAAGTGTTTATCCTGTTTTCCCTATGTAGAGAAAGACACGGCATGTACCGTGATGGTGGTGCCTGTGGCCTTTCGTTCCCATGATGATTGCTGATCACTGTTGAGAATGGTAGCCTCCAGGGGACCAGTGAAGTGTTACACTCAGAATATTTTAAATCAGTGAACAAAAGGCAAAGTGTGTTCTGCCTAGACATAGCACTATCCTAACGTACTCGTCTCTTCCTCTCGTAGGAGCCCAGAGGAGATGCAAGGGTGGATAAACAGAATTAACTGTGTGGCAGCGGTGTTCTCTGCCCCACCGTTCCCAGCGGCCATTGGTTCTCAGAAGAAGTTTAGCCGTCCACTTCTGCCAGCCACAACAACCAAACTCTCCCAGGTAAGCCCATGCGGTCATGCCCTGAGCTTAGGAAAGCATGCTTACTGGGAATATTAGTATTAACTAAGTTTTACTGTTGAAAGATTGTGCATACTCTGGTCTGTCTGTAAGAGAAACCTTGCAGGAGTGAACTGCAGGAATGGGCATGTCCAATGGGCTTGTGCCTCAGCCTCAGCACTGCAGACCTGTGCGTGCTTTATTACTTTTTAATCGTAATTTTATGTGACATGACCCAGGCCTGGAGCAACATCCTGGCTTGGTAATGAGCTTTTCACCTTTCATCCATTACTTTCCTTTTGAAGAATATAAAAGTGTTTCCATGATTTCCTTCTAGCTGTATAGTGAGAGTGGGGTAATTCCAGTTTAATTCCTCGACCTTGGGGAAGAGGTGGTAAGATTCGGTTCCACTAAACTCATCCACGTCAAGAGGTGAAACTCTTTTTCACATTCCTTTCCATCAACTTTTCTGCTGTTGTCAGATTAATCAAATTAGCATACCCTAACATTGTCAGATTAATCTTTCCAAAAATTATCATACCTTCTCCTCAAAGCTGTGGTCTGAGACCCTGCCAACATTAAACATGTCTGAATTAGCACCACTGCCGTTGACTAGTAAAGGATTTTGGAAGTTACTTTGATGTCCTTATGAAATTCTTGTTTCTTAATATAGAATTAATTCCATCTAGGATGGGCCAGACACTGGCATTGAGAAACAACTTACTTGTAGTTCAGCTGGATGGACATAGAGAATCATAGAACCCTGTATGGCACCGAGGACAGGAAAGTTGAGCAAAAGAGGAAGCATGAGATCTGATAGGAAGCTTAAAGGAAGCCAAGCTGTCATAGGATGTGTGATATAAGGGATACAGTGGTCAGAGAAGAAAAGCACTGCAGTGCAGGAGCTCTGGACATGTTTCCATGGCTTGAGAGGCCTTGAGACAAGCAGGAATATTGCTCTGAGGTAAGCAGAGCCATGTCATAAAGGAACTTTGTCCTAATCTGTGCTGCTATGACACAATACCACAGAGTCGGTAACCTATTAAAAAACAAAGCACAGAAATTCACTTCCTGTGCCATGAGGTCAGGGTCCCCTTGCTGTATGGTAATCTTGTAGAGAATCACATGGTGAAGACAACAAGGGGCTGAGCAGGAGAAAGTTGAGGGTGTCAGCCTGATTCTTAGCAGCCCACTAGTCTACTCAAAACAATAGTCTCAACAACACATGAGTGTGAAGCTCACTCACCCTGGTCACCTCTTCACAGCCACAGTAAAAATTAAACTTCCATGTACATTTTGGAAGGGGACACTAAACCATTGCGTGTTTGCTATGTGTAAGATTTTGAATGTTTTGTTAGCTCCCCAGTATCCTTGAGAAAATAGCCTCAAGCAGGATAAGAATGTGATCCCATTGATAGTGTAGATGTTACTATTGTTACTATGTGATTAAAGAAGATAGCACTGGAAGCAGAAGGCCCTTCAGGAGTGTTAGTAATCCAGAAGGGAGTATTTATGGCAGCTGTGAAGGGAAGTGGAAACTTCCATGCATATAACTGGGCAGCTCTAATGGCTGGGAAAGATAAGAAGAGCTGTCACCTGTTTGAACGGCTGGGGACTCTGATTTCTGGCCTGGCTTGTGGAACCCTGCCTCAGTTAATCCAGACTTCCCATTCTGATTCTCTGCAAAGTCCTTTCCTAGGTCCTTGTCTTCCTTCTTGTTCTAAATATTGTAGTTCCAGGGCTCAGAAACAGACTAAGGTACTCAAGCACTAGTTTCTATAGTTATTTAGGTGAGAATCATCTAATTCAGAGGGTCTGCATTAAGAAAAGAAGGGAAGGCAGAAAAATCACAGCAAATGACCTGTACTAGGTGGCAGAGAAGTCACTGGTAAACTTGGGAAGGACAGTTGGCTGGAGTGATGGGAGGGGACTCTGTACTGGTCTTCTTTGATGGAGAGGAAGGGAATGGGCACAAGTATATTCATAGTTATAAAAAACATCAGTAAGAGAAGAGTCACGGCTTCAGGAAAGATCTTATGGTAGGGGGTTTTAAACTTGTATTAGATATTTACTATATAAGCATTATTTCTGTTGTGTAATTCATCAGCTACTTAAGAAGTATTAGGGATATTGAGGCAAGCATTAGGGAAGAGTGGCATTTAATTTTCATGTATAGTAAGTATGTTTAGAGAAAGATTGCCAGATCTTCTCTGGGGTCAAGCTTCATCCTCCCCCATTGAGAACCACTGCTCTCCCCAGTGACTGTCCATCTGTGAGCTTCAGATAGACAGACCTATAGTTTGATTATGGCCTTCTGAATGCCAGAGGCTTTGGGGTAATTAGAACTGTTAAAATGTATAGCAACAAGGTGAGTACTCTCCTGGAAAGATAAACAGTGTTAGGAAAATCAAAGGGCCAAGTAAGAGCATTTGGTACTTTGAGCAGATTTGTTCATTATCCTGTCACTGGCGAGCTTTTCTTGAATTTGTTCTTGTCTTGCCTCCAAAGCATATTAGCCTGGATTATTAAGGCTGATTGCTGCCAGTGTGGCACAGCTCTTCCTGAACGGCTCTGTGTGGAGGAGTTGCCTTCTCTGTTGTTTTCTTCACAGTGCTGCCAGAGTACATTTTTCCTCTGTTGGGGGTGGAGAGACTACTTCGAACATTTAAAATTTTCCCCCTCCTTCTGGTATAGCTGTCCAAACAGAATATCATGCCCCCCTCCTGCACACATGCCAGATAGTTTATTGAGGACTTTTTATACCCACCAAAGCAGTCATTTTCAAGCTTGGATGTACACAGAATGATCTGAGACTTGTAGCACAGGCCCAGTTTTCAGACCTATGTGATGATTAAGGTTCAGGCTGAGCCATGAAGGACGCATGTGTCTCAGATAGGCAGGTAGCTGGCTAGGTAGATAGGTAGCATGTAGACTCTGTGGCACTCTCTGCCTTCCTTAGGCCTTTCACCACTTCTGGACACTCATATCACATACAGTGAGTGTTTCTTATATCTGGGCCTGTTATCTTCGAATCCTATTCATTTTCTTGTGAAAATTTGGAATGGTCAATCATTAGATACTAGTCATTATACATTGGGCAAACCACATGTAAACACTGGTAAGAACAGTCCTGTGCTCACTTTTCATACTGAAATATCTACCTCTTACAGGTGGTAGGTATTGAACCCAGAACCTCTTGCATGCTAGGCAAGCACTCTACTGCCAAGCCATACCTGAACTCCTTCCTTATTCTATTTTGTGGTTTGGCTGACAGTGGGAGTGCAGTGGGCCCACCATGAAAACACTGGGAATGTGTGTGGTATGACAGAACAGTAGTCATTCTTGTGGTTGCCTTCCTCATAGTCAGAACTATACACTCGTCCTACCCACACTTATACAGTCTGTCATGTCATTGTGTACTGTCTGTATGTATTAAAACACCATAGTGAGCCTCATTGATGTATACTGTTGACACTACTCCTAAAAGTTAAATGAATCTAGGTACACTGATCACATCTATAATTCAGCTATGTGGGACCTGAGTCAGGAGAACTATTTCAAAGCCAGCCTAGGCAATATTTCAGTTACTTAAATAAAAAAGCAAAATATGAAATGCCCTTCAAAATAAAAATACTATTAGGTAAGAGAAAGTAAAATCCCATGTTAAATTTTAATTGACAGGTAAGAATTGTCTCTATTTATAGTTACACCATGTTTTTATAGTATGCATACATTGTGCAGTGATTAATCAGGCTAATTGATGTATGTGCTACTTTTGTGGTGAGGACATTTGACATATTTTTAGCAATTTTTAAATATGTATCACACTGCCATTAATTATAGTTGACTTGAGTCACCATCGAATTCTTGAATTTATTCTTCGCAATGGCTGACATTTTTGATCTTTGACCAGCATCTCCCAAGTCCTCACAAACCCTAGGTTATATAGCCACTAGTCTATCATCTAGTGTCCTGTGGTGTGCCTTGTTTTTGGATTTCACATATAAGTGAGCACATGTAGTGTTTTCCGTGTGTTCATTTTGTAGTATATGACTAGTATTTTATTTTTAAGGCTGAATATATTTGTTCCATTTTGATCAGTAATGGTCTCTGTTGTTTGACACATAGTTTATGTCTGTATCTTAGACACTGTGAGTCATGCTACAGTGACCATGACAGTGTGTGTATCTCTTGACATTATTTCATTCCTTCAAGTATACATGGCTGGATGATCTAGTAATTCTCTTTGTAGTTTTCCATAATTGTTGATTGTTGGTGGTGATATTCTCTCTCTCTCTCTCTCTCTCTCTCTCTCTCTCTCTCTCTCTCTCACACACACACACACACACACACACACACACACACACACACACATTCTCTCTCACTCTGTCTTACACAGTTCTGAATATCCTGGAGAAACAAGGTCAGGGTTCCAGCAGGGTCACAGTCTGGAATATCTCCCTAAGGGCTTCATATCATTGCTATCTTTTTTGGTTGCTGGATTTCTAGCCTTTCCTTGGTGTGTAGCATGGATACAGATGAGTCACTGGGCCTTCTGATCTCATTAGCCTTGCTGGGACTCCATTGTCAAGTTTGGGTGCATGAGTTTAAAGCTTTAGCACACCCATTTTAGAAATATACCCATCTGTGACATGGTCTTTATGTTCCTTTACAGAGCATTATAGATGAATGAAAAATTGTAAACAAAGCTCCCTAAGGAGTTTTTTTTGGCTTTTGGCATTATCTGTGAGTAGATGATGGGTTTCCCATAATCTTCACTTTGTTTCTCTCTGTGCCCCCATTCCTTACCAGGATACTTGGAGTATTTTGTTGTACCTGGTACTTCAAATGAATATGGTCCTGGTTTCATCCTTCACTTTATTTTTCTTTTCATTACTTATTTTCTATTTGAGGACCTTAAATTTGCAAGTTATTTTCTTTATGCTCTAGAGATGTCACTATTTTAGAGGACCCTAAGATACTGTACATGACTTATGCTTCTTGGGTAACTTTTTACTTAAAATAATACATAGCCTTAATTTATTATTTGTAATTATTAATTTTCTGGTAACTTTAAAAATTCATCTCTATCCTTCTGTATAAATTACATAATATAAAATTATGTTTCTATTGTGCAAAATACTGGTTATTTTAATTCCTTTTTTATCTACCGTCCATTTATTTTATGCTGCACATGTAAAATTGCTCAAGATTTTGAACAAATTTTCATGGAAAAGCAGAAGGCTAAGCAGCTACACAACTGTACAGATGCCAAAGAATTAAAATACCTTTTGCTTCAAGCATGTTTAAAGCTGCTGGATATGTATTATGCATCTATAATTCCAATCATGAGGGGGAGGCAGAAGGGTAATGAGTTTCAAAGCCAGTCTGTCCTACTCAGTGAGATCTTATCTCCAAAAGAAGACAGACAGACATGAAGGGAGGGAGGGAGGAAGAGAGGGAGGAGAAAAGGAAGGCAGGAAGGAAGGAAGGAAGGAAGGAAGGAAGGAAGGAAGGAAGGAAGGAAGGAGAAAGAGAAAGAAGAAAAGAATAAATATTTTCACTATGTTATGAGAGAGCTGAGAGACATATCTTTGTAGGTGGTGTATTACTAAGTTGATATAAATGGTGTCCAGGAATGGAAATCTTTATGCGCAGGATTGATCATTTTGTGTTAGTTCCTGGTGTGTGGACTAATGGTGTTCAGGCTGTAATTACTCTGTGTTTAATGGAATGACTGCTTTGGGTCAATGAAGTTGAAGCAAGTGAGAATCTCTGCCACTCTAGGGAAGAATTTCATCTGCACATAGGTTTCATAAATGCATTTCTTCATAGCACAATTTCTCCCTAAAAGAGAAAACATTATACAAATAAATGTTTATTATAATAAGCAGGCGGAAGCTAACAGCATTGCTGAGTGTGCATGAAGGGAGAAGCCAAGTCATGTGGCTCTTAGGAAAAGCACTTAATTGTTCAGCTTGTAACTAACATGTTTGTCGAGGTTTCTCTTAAGACGTCTGGTCCCCATATGGTAACAAGTACAGCTGATAAAGGGCTCAGAAATGGTGTGGCTTTGTGACAAGAGATTGGCTAGTAATGTTAGTCCCTATTGCCATTCTAAAAAGGAATATACTAACGCTAGCCTAAAAAAGTTGGAAGGACTTAAGACCGAAGGCTCCTCTTTGGACTATTTTGATAAATTGAAGTCATTACGCAGAAAGGATTTTACAGGCGTCCTGTGCTTTTCTTTGATTATTTTCTGCACACTGAATGACTTCATAATTTCCTGCAGGAGGAACAGCTGAAGTCCCATGAAAGCAAGCTGAAGCAGATCACCACTGAGCTGGCTGAACATCGCTCATATCCCCCAGACAAGAAGGTCAAAGCCAAGGATGTCGACGAATACAAGCTTAAAGATCACTATCTGGAGTTTGAGGTATGGCTGGCCTAGATGTTACTAAGTGGTGTTTTATTATCTATCTGAAGATATGTGAAGTATGTGAAGTAAACACTTCATAGCAGTCATGGTAGTGAGCTTGACTTGTCCTGGCTCCAACTTAGGATGTCCTAGTATGACAGGAGCCCTAGTAGCTTCATGTTTGTGATTTTGTTTAAGCACTGAATAAATATCAAAGTGATGGCCAGTTCATTTGCATCACACAAACAGCCTCCAAGTTGGAATAGAGTGCACCTGTGACAAGGGTAACAAAAAGAAGAACAGGAAGGGAAATGTGCCAGGGAGGACAGCTGCTTTCTGTGACCCTGCATTTCCTCCAACAGAGTTTAGGTCAAAATAAACACAGGGAAGAAAGCATCTGCTCTTCCTGTACACCCTTGCTGCTAGGTGACATCAGCACTCCTCTCAACCACTCACCGCCATGCTTCACAGAAGGGAACTGATGAATTAAGACCTGGCTCATTCATCTGGTGTTGCCAGTGTGATGAGGAAAGAGGCAGCATATTCAAAACCAAGCTGAAAGCCTCATCCCAAAGGTACCCTTCATCTAAGGTTTCTCACAAGTCAAAGCCAGTATCCTTCAGCCTTCACTCTTGACAACCACACTCAGATCCTTAAAACATTTTTTTTCTATAAGACAAAAAGAGGAAAACTGTATGTTCCATGATTTATTTTTTCTTTCACACACTCTTCTGTCATAACTCACGCTGTCACTCATTGCACTTCTACACCCTTCCACATCCTTCATTTTCTCTCATTTCCCTATTACATGACATTTCGTCCTCGGGACTGCACCTGGGAGCATCTGAGCACTTACATCTTAACATTGTCTTTGCAGGGCTCCACCCTGTTGCCCTCTTTACCACAGCCACTGCCAGAGTGCCTCCTCTGTGCCAGTCCTGGCTTCATACCTCTCACAGGAGACTAGCAGTTGCCTCCTGCTGCCTTTCCTTCCTTCAGTTCATCCACCATGTCCTTTTCTGGTTTGGTCTAAAGGTCAAGGTGATGATAGTGTCACCTGTCCCATAACTGTCCCAGCTCTTACACCCAACCCTCCTCCCATTTACCTTCCAAATAAAGTTCCACACATGAATCTGAGAGGATTTACCTTTCTCTCCTATCTAGACCACATGTCTCTCCACATGCAGTGGTAACTAATATTTCTGTCCCCTTCTCCCTGAAACCACGTATGCATTACTTTCTTCATCTACTTCTGTCTCCAATGTCCTTCTATGGCTATCATTTTTTGATACCATCTGGGTAAGACCCAGATCTCTCCTATAAAAAGCCTACTTTTGACACACTATCCATGTAGAACTCGCCATGAATTGACTGTAAGTTGAAGTTACGTTAATCTTTCTTTGGGCCCCAATGCAGCATGTCCAAGACCCTGGACTTGCTTGTTGATTTTCACAGAATGTCCTAGAAGTTGCTACCTGAGTCATCACTGTACCACTGTATCTTAGACAGAAGGCAGAACCATAGCCAACACTATTCTCCATGGTAAAGATGACATACAAGGAAAATCTTCTAGTAAAGATTGAAAGTTTGTTGACTAAAGCTACTAAAACCTTACCAGCAGAAGATTTGAAAAATTAATAAAAAGAAAAAGTGAATAGCAGCTCATCTTTGACAAGGCTTGTTCATTCCTGGGAAATATAAGTTCTCAAAAAGCAATCTTTATTCTTCACACTTCTGCAGTAGCTGGAAGCCATGGGCTTCTTTTCTGTTTCACACTTTCTAATTAAATTTCCCAACACCTTACTCCCTGGCTTCCAGAACTCATCACCTTGCTTTGAGCCCTTGACTCTTTAAGAGGAGAACCTATCCTCAGGAGTTAGGGCCCTTGCCAACCCACAGGAAGGTAGCCACTGCTAGACAGAGACCAATGTGTGGATCTTCTGTGGAACCCTTTTCTTGCAAATGGAGCCCAGGGAGAAACAGCAATTTCATATCCTGAACTTTAAATTTAGAGCATCTTTGGGGAAATCGGGTCTCGTTGCCATCGTTGCCTCCTCAAGGAATTTGAAGATTGTATTCCAAGACTTTACTCATTAAGGTCAGACTCAGGGTAATGTGTCAAGTGTGTTGAATTGTCTGTCAAGCTGCATTAACCTGTGTGAGAGAGGAAGGTCCAAGGGGCACTTACTGTGTGATTTTCATCAAAAACGGTGTGTGTGTGAGATGAGTAAATACTCTTGGAAAAGTGATTCATTGTTTTTCACTAACTCAGATGAAAATTGAAGTAATGGATCATATAGAATCTACAGTGCTGAGAGTTCAGCCACAGAGTTGGTCTCCTGTGGGTGCTTGTGGGGGCTCTTGTGCAGGATCTTTTGCTTTATAAGCAATATCCCTTTAATCACTCACTTCTTTCCTGAATAGAATGTAAGCAACTATTGGCCAGTTTGTATATTTTGCTGACAGCTCTACCCTGTATCCTAGAATATTTTCCAAGTTCTTGATATTCATTGAAACTTTATCATAGAATCTGATGCTATGATTGCATCAGAGAAGTCAGTGTACTCAGAAAGCTTAGTTAGTATCAATCCTTTATAGAGGGACAGGAACATGTGTGATAGAAAATCCCATTAGCAAGTGAGAAGAGAAGGCCTGCAGGTCCACAGAAGCCCTGGCTGGTCAGTGACATGAGTAAGGTGCTAACCCAGGCTGTGTTCTCACTGGAGATGAACCACATGGTCAGCTCTCAGAGTGCTGAGTCTCACCTGCTCAATTACAGGCCATCATCTGTAAGCCTCCTTTGGTTTCAGAACAGTTCTGCTCATTTCACATGCTTCGGAAAGAAGAGCACTTTTGTTTAGGCAGAATATTAAATTACTGCCGACAACACCAGGGTAGGTCCTATGTCTATGCATTTCAGTTATGTCCCAGGGTGCTTTGAGGACAAGCAATTCTTCATAGCAAGCCAAATTCATAGCTCTCTGGATGGCTAAGAATGCCTATAAGCCCTCACTCACAGTAAATAATTAGAAATTCCAGTAAATGTATAGGTTTAGGATGTAAAGAAATGTACAGAAAACAGAGAAATTTACATCTTAGCCTTGTAGGAAAGGTTCATTATCTAAAACAGCAAATTTTACTGAGAATGGGCTGTAATTAACTAAACCTGTACTTTTTCTCTGATTCATATTTGGTAGAGAATGGACAGTCTTGTTATTGACTCAATTAGTACCTGAAGCCATGGCCTTTTTTTCCCTCTTTTTTCTTTTTTAAAAAAGAGTTATGTATTTATATTATATATGAGTGCTCTATCTGCATGTACACCTGCATTCCAGAAGAGGGAGGGCATTAGATCCCATTATAAATGGTTGTGAGCCACCATCTTGTTGCTGGGAATTGAACTCAGGACCTCTGGAAGAACAGCCAGTGCTCTTAACCACTGAGCCATCTCTCCAACCTAGCCTTTTTCTTAGAAGAATTTTGTTGGAAAGTTTGCTTTTGGAAGGTATATACTCTGAAATAGTTAATAACGTTATAAGTCCACAAAAAAGGAAACATAAGTCACCTCACAGTTTGAGGAAGTAAGCAAGAGCCACGCTTCTTCACACATTAGTTTACTTATCCTTTATTTGGGTTCCATTTTATTCTAAGGTGTTTTCACTGATTTTTCAAGCTTCCAAAGTACATTAGAAAAATATATAACGGCTTAGAAGGAAGACAGATGGCTTGTAGACAGAATAAACACTCACAAAGGTCCCGTCAGTCAAGCACAGTGGATTGAGCTATGCTAGGAAACATTTATGTGCTTGAAGAAGCATTATCTTCAGATTCTCTTGACGGCATTTGTCCTCAGCCTTGGTATTTGTCTTCGCTTCTTTAAAAACAATAGCTACTAGGAAATGAAGACATTGTTTATTTCAAGGTGTCTCTCATGCAACACTTAAGATAGTTGCAATAGGTAACTGATCCTTACATTGAGCTAGACCTGAGGAGAGAGGGAGGGAAAAGAAGGTATAGCAGTATATAAACCTCTAAATCATTGCTAGACTGGGAAACAGTCATATAGGAAGGATTACAGAAGGTGGGCTTGATCTCAGGCTCACAAAGGCGATTGTAAAATTGGGTGAAGACAGTGTGTATGAACTGTGTGTGACAGCTCACATGCTTTGCTTGCAGTGTCAATTCAGTTGAGCAAAAGAAGTTATTTCCTTCCTGTTGGCTCCATCATGTCACATCCAATAACTCTACATCTGTCTTAATGCCTGAAAGAGTCTGAGTCCTCAACCCTGTTACTAGTACTGCAGCCATTTGTTTAGGACTGAAATGCTAGTTGTGTTGTTGAATGTGGGCTTCAGAATTCACCATCCCAATGTAGTCTGAGTACCACGTGAAATTAGTGTGTCATAAATTTAACCAATAGTGTTGGATGGTAGATCTTAATAAGTGAATTCAACCCACTGTTGCTCACTCACTCACTCACTCACTCACGTCCCCTCTTGCCTTCTGCCCTGTACTGTAGTAGTACTAAAGGACTATAGTATAGTACTGCATGAAGACTCATAATTCTTTGCTCTTTATAAACTTCCCTCCTCAGGCAGTCTCTGTAACCACATAGATTGATAGACAGCAAATGCAGAGAAGAACTAGTTTTTCCTGTAACAAATGGCTAAAAAGTGAGTGTGGCTTTGGAATGGGCAATGGGTAAGCCAATGACAATTTTGAAATAAATGCAGGATTGTCAGGAGGGAAGCATAAAGATAATTCTGTTAAGGGCCCTGAGAACGGAAGCTAAGATATGCATCATGTTTCCCAGAGTACTTGAGTAGGACTTGGCGTAATGTAGAAAGACTCAAGGAGCAGGAAGTCTCAGAAATGAGGACAGTGTACTAGAGCTGGGAGTCAAGGCCATGCTTGGTAAATCGATACAAAGCACAATTGTCTGTAACCTAGGCTGACTTAAAATTAATAAATTCCAATAATAGAAGTTTGTAAGGAAAATATTGAAGAAGTGGCTTGGC